GTCCACAAGTAGTAATTCTCTTAGCCCCTTTATCCAAGGGTGGGAAGATGGTAGTGGTGAAGATCCTGCTGTTGATGGAAGTCAGAAGACAGTGAGCAAGCTGCAATGGGTACAGAGCCTGAACTGTCCTTTTCTTCCCGCTTAAATTTAGGCTTGACAGGTCACTGTGGAACAACCTGATATATTTGCTCTCTGGATGGAAAAAACTGAAATTTCTCAGGCTTTTATTTGTCTTATTTCATAAGCGATGTCTGCATAACCCGTGAGCACTTTCACACTGTACAGTTTTCTCCTGAAAAGCAAATATTTTCCTGCTCTGAAGAATGTGGTTTTTTGCTGGGCCCATCAATTTGCATATTCTCCCCATTGGCAATATCCTTTATCCTCTGCTTCCGGGTCAGTGTGGCACTACTGCAGGAACAGGGCCTGTTTCATGACTTGTTCATGTAGCACCTACAAAAACGAGGTTGTAATCTAAACACACATCCCTAGTCCATAAATACAATAAATTGGCATAATGAAAATGGATAAACTGGGAGTGCATTTCATTGTGGAAATAGTACCTAATATGGGAATAATTCCTAACTCCTCAGGGTTCCAGTGCTCCTTTCTGCTTTGCTCACCGCAAGATGGTTTGTGTTAGGAATGATGACATTTGCTGAATTAAATTTCAAAAATATCTGAGTGGCAGCCCTACTAGGCCAGAGTCAAGAACTTTTCCATGTTTTCTAGTGCTCAGGCAATGTTGTTGGTTGTTGACTACTGAGTTTTCAGTTTATACACTCAACAACATTGCTGATGGCAAATATGATCTGACTCTTTGGTCTGGAAGCGTTAGCAATACAAATCTGTTTTTATAACTTTGCTATGCTACGCTAGCCAAAGAGAGAGCAGCATTAGCTAATAATTCTATAGATATGTGGATGGCTTTTATTAATAATATAACCAGGTATTTTGTTAATGTTACAGTCCCTGAAAGTAAATGTTCATAATCAGGATCATGCTGCATTGAACTCAGCAAGAAACAAGACATACATGCTCCAAAGTGGTTGACTGCAAGAAAAAATGGGTATAGGTAGGATCATGTAGGGCCAGGAGCAGGTATGGGTACAAGGCTCTGCTAGCAGAGCTGAGTAATGGGGACAGTGTCTCATCTTGCACGGGGTTGTCACCAAGGTTAAGTCAACCTGTGTCAAAACTGTGTCCATGAAGAAAAAGAGACAGGTCATTGCCATGGAAGACTCCCTTCTGAAGGGAGAAGACCCAATATGCTGACTGGAACAACTTCTGAGGGATATCTGCTGCCTCTCTGGGACATGGGTTAAAGACATGAAAAGAAAGCTTCTTACTCTCAGGTTGCTCTCCACTATTAATTTTCAGGTAGGCAGCAAGGAAGTTGCACCAGGAAGTCCAAGGAAAATCAGGAAACGCTTCAGAGCTTTGGGACAATTGGTTAAAGGATCTGGACCACAGGAAGTGTTCCCCTTATCCTACCAATTGCAAGGAATGATAAGGAAAGAAATAGAAAGAGACAACAGATTACCTGGCTCTGAGCCTGGTGTCACCCTCAAAATTTGGGGGATTTTGATCATGGGTCAGTTTACATGACAGCAGGGCGACTAGTAACAGATGGGGCACACATGTCTCAGAGGGGGAAAAGGATCTTTGCACTGAATACTTGGGAAAATTTGTTCACCAAAGGGATTGTCAAGCACTGGAACAGGCTGCCTAGGGAAGTGGTGGAGTCACTGTCCCTGGAGGTATTTAAAAGACATGTAGCTGTGGCACTGAGCGACATGGTTTAGTGGTGCACTTAGAACTGCTGTGTTAATAGTTGGACTCACTGCTGTTATAACTCTTTTCCAACATAAATGATTCTATGATTCTATGACTGCATTCTGGCCTATCCATGTGCCTTTAAAATAAATACTCAAGATCCTCTCTGCTGCTAGATCAGAACAGAATTATCTTTTAAGCAGTAGCAAATGTTCAGATACCAAAAAGACCACATAAAGCTGTGTGTACATATAAAATGTTGTCAGTTCCCAGCACTTACCAGGTACTCCTCCAGCTCCAGACCATGCATACAGCCTCATACATGTAGCAGCTCCCCCAGACCTTGTGCCAGTCTCCCTGAAACTTGAAAATGTGGTACATGGCAGGTGTACTTTCTAATGGCAGTACATTTCAGCAAGGTGTAGTGTTTGGTGTTAGTGCAGCTCTGAGGGAACTGTAGTTGCTCTGTGTCATCTCCCACTGATGCCATCTTTGCTTCTGTCTCCATTCAATCTGTTTTAATTAGGTTCCCCATAGCCACCACAACACTGCTGCTGTGGAGCTCCCCATAATGTCTGGCCCTGCCCATACCTGGCACAGTGAGCAGAGCTTGTAGGGCTGCTGTCTGCCATGTGAGGAGAACTAACAGAGCTGCTGGGAGCAAGCCATCATGGGCTGAATACAGTTTGGGGTGAAAAGGCTAGCACAGGCACTCGGCTGCCAGAACACTCATGGGTAGAGAGGAGCCCTGAGGCAGCACTTTTGTGCCATGTCTTCACTTTGAGGTTTGGATCTGGCCTTGAAGGCATCTCAGAGCCCTGGGAGTCTTTGAGGGTGGTATTGGGGCTGTGTATGGGTGTGCTGTTGATGCATTATAGAATTCAGAGGGCAAAAGTTTGGTCAAAGAAACAGCAATTAGTCAGGAGGTGCCTAAAACTGAAGAGAACAGATGGAAAAAGTAACCCAGATGTATGAACTAGACAAAACAAGTTGTATATAAACATTCTCAAACTGTTTACAAAGTCCAAAAGAAAGAGGAATACAAAAGATTATTTTTCTGTCTGAGAGCAGAGGACACATGCTGGTTCTTTGTCCCTTCCACCAATGTGGGACAGCTTGTTGCTGTGATGACACAGTCTGTGCCTGTGGTGTTTTGGGATGTGGGGCTCCCCATGTTACACAAGTGCTTCCACTGGTCACCCAGCCATTTCTGCAGTCTCTGCCAGATACATCAGGAGAAGCGTAACAACTACAGGCACCCGCTCTTTTGACTCCTTTCTCTTCTGCCCTTCTCCTGTATCAGAGCACCAAATAATTCCCTGCCTTGGAGCAATCAGTCATTAACAAGGACCTTGCTACAGCAAGGGGTCTTCTCAAGCCACTGCAGTCAAGATTACTTCTGGGAAAGAGAAAGTGAGTTCAATTTTCATCTGCTGCAAAAAGGAAAAAAATGACAATTTTAAAACTCTGTGGTTATTTTTTTACCCCATACCCATGCAGGACAGCAGGTTAAGCTGCAGCACTTCAGAGAAATGGCTTGTCAGAAGCTTGTCTACCATGATGAGTAAATAAAAACTCAGCAAATAGATCCCCTTTTCCCAAGAGAGGGGGAAGTTGGCAGAGGACATCCAGAGGATGCTTCATGATCCCTCTGTTAGCAGAAAAGGAGCCTGCTGAAGTGTCTGTGGTGTGTATGAGTGGAAGCAGCAATAAAGCAACTGTGCTAGGATCCTCAAGTGAACAGAACCTGCTGCAAGAAGACATGGTCTTGGTTAGTTGATGACAAGCAGAATTCCCAGGAACAATTGCCTCCTGCCCTGGGATATCTATTCTTCTACCATTTAGCTCTAAGTGAAGCAATTGGACTGTCAACACCCATGGCTAGACCATGCTTACAGGGCCACAAGCCATGTTTCTACAGCAAAGTGGAGACTGGAGGTGGGCACAACACACTGTTGCCTGTGGGAGAAGGGGTGGAGAGGGGCTAGGATTTCTTAACCTTTACTGCTAGCTTCTTGGATGGAAGACTGCAGGACCAGCTCCTTAGCTGGCATAAAAAGTCACATATCCATGGAGCTGCAGATTGTTCATTTCCTTCACTAGGAAAAGAACAGAAACACAAAAACGTTGGTTGGAAGAGTCCTCTGAGGCCTAAGGTCATCCAGGCTCCTGCTTAGTACAGGACTATCACATTACATCAAGTCAGCTTTGGCATTGTCTAGCCAAGTCTTGAAAGCCTCCAACGATGGAGGAATGCAGAGTGTCCCTCTCTGGGACATGTTTTCTGTCCATTTTCTTCTCCCAAGCTCCAGCCTGGGTTTGTTGTTCATCTGTTGCTTGCAGGATGGATAGGGGCCTGTCAGTCTCCCCCTGAGGGAGGCATGATTTGCAGCAGATCCTCTTGGATCACCCCTCCATCTTCTTGTCTCTGGACTAAACCCACCCAGCTCACTCAGCCTCTGCTCCTAGCTTGTACTCTCTGCCCTAGCTGTCTCAGTGCCTCTCTAACTGCCTCTGCTCACACTGAGGTGTCCAAAGCAACACGGGACATACCGGTGGCCTCTGTGGAACAGAGGCTTCCCTCTCCCTGCCAGCTACATGCCTCCTCCTGCAGTCTGCCAGGCACTTTGTCCTGCTGGTGATGCCAGCACATGCTGGGCTCAAACAAGGTGGGACCTGTAATTATAGCAACATGAGAAGCAGCAGAGGTCTCATTCACTGCACTGGAGATAGTACAGTAAGCAAACAGTTTTAAAATCCAATTTCATAGACACAGAGATTACATTAATCTCTTTTAATAGCTAAACAATTCAGTTTTCAAGACAGGACAAAGCATGGGATATTCTTGACAAAACTGGTGCTTCAAAGGTGCTTACATCAGATTTCCAATCCTAACTCCTAAACTCCTAATGGTAGAATTGTATCAGATTGTATCTTTTCATACAGTAGTGCTACAAAACTTGCTTTTAATCTCCTCTTTTTATAACACGCTGCAGATGCCTGGGCTTGCCTGTGGGAAGCAAATGTAGATTGTCTTTGCCTTCAAATTCCATATGATGAAACTTACCCAACCCTCAGCAACTGATCTTGGGGGCCTGTGGAACAATAAAAGCCCAAGTTATCAAAGTATCTGTAAACTGGCTTCTGATTTCTAGCTGGAGCACCTCCCTGAATGTGGACCCTTTGATTTAAAGTAGCTGCTTTCTTTCACCATGTCTCAACAGGCAGGAAAGAGCATTGCTTTAGTTCCTGTTGGCTCAGTCGCATTAGCTGAACATGAGGAAAAATCCCCCCTTCACCTGTACAAATGCAAAAGCGAATGTGGATCTACACTGGAATCTTCTGCCCTTGTAGTAAGTACTATGTAATATACAGGGATGTTTCTATACTGCCAAAAATATTGGTATAAAATTCTTTTCTTGCTGACACTCTTTTGTTTGGAGAAGCCAAATTATCTGTCCTGGGGAAGGCATAATTTATTGAACTAGATTGCACATTTTTAGAGTATTTTCAGGTCTTGTGGTCTAGCCATATCCATTTTGGGTTGATTTATAGTGTTTGTGTTGTGATTTAGGTCTCTGAAAAAATGAGCTCTAACAAGTGATGGTGCAGTGACTGAAGAGGACCCACCCAGCTGGTTTTACTGCTCTGCTGGCAAAGACTACGGTCCCTGCAGTAGAGCTGTCAGAAGACAACATATGTCCAGGGCAGAGCTGCTCCAAATGGCATTGGAGTTGAAATCTCCAAGGAGGTGGGATTAGACTAAACAGAAGACTGTGAACTAGACATACTGAGATATTATCCATAATGGTTTATCCCCACCTAGAACAGCTCTGCTTCTGTGCCTCAAGTCCTAACAGATCCTGTGCCATGTTTCTGTCTCCTCCTTTACACCAGAACTGGCAGTCATCTGATGCTAATACAAAATTATATAGGGACTTCAAGCCAGCCAAAATTTCTTCTCTTTCACCAAGAAGGTGTGGAGGGGACTGAAACACCACCAACTTCTAACAGGTTAATCATGATACCTGTCTCTCATGTAGTGGTAAAAGTGTCCTGGGGTCTCAGTGCCACTCTACCCTGTGGTCTCAGAGTGATGTCAAGTAACAGCAGGTAATAGTGTCATCTGCTCATTTGTTTTCCACTCAAACAATAATCTGGGGCCAGAGCCTTCTTCTGATGTTCCTGTATGGCCAGTTAGCAAGGCTCTGCTGCCAGGGAAGTCCCTTATCAGTGTAATCTCTGTTCTGCTACGGGGGGACCTGCCGTAGTGGTGGCCTGGCTGTCAGGAGCGGAGCTGTCATGAGCAGTTGTCTCTTTCGCCTCCTGACTCAGAGGGTGTCTGGCCAGAGACTGCCCTTGCATCCCCTTGCAGCAGCGAGCAGGAATGACAGAAGGAGAGAGTCAGGACTGACTGACCTGAGCAGTATTTCCCGGCTAAATTACATGAGAGTTTTCCTCTTCCTGGCCTATTACTAACATGGTAAAAATCAGTGGGAAAATGCCTGGGCCTTAAATATACAATGAGCCTTTCCCCACCCATTACCACCTAACTGATAAGCTGCTCCGGGCTATCTTGTTTATATTTATGAGTCTTTAATACCTCGTAGCATTTGTGTTTACCTTGAAGCTATAGGCGGCTATGTGCTGTAGTGTGCTGAATTTTTGTGCTGTAAGTACAAACAGATGTTTGAAGATATGCTTTGAAGCAATCTATGCCCTCTACATTCTTTCCCAAGACTTCTCAGGAGTAGTATGCATCATTATATTCAGAGGAAAGTTTTGAAGGGCAGTGAGAGAGGAGACACATAGGAATAGTTAGAAAGTGGAACAGGAACACATACTCACAGATCTATTGCATAAATCCTTCACAGCAATGCTTCGGACATCAGTATGCATAAAAAAATTTGCAGGCCCTCATTCCTACAAAGCAGCTGTTGCTTTATGCACATCTTTTAGGCTTGCCTAGCCTAAGGACAGACTCACTAGCCATATCCTTGTTGCCCTCAAGAGCTATTTCCTGCAGCCTAAATAATTTCCCTGATGCCAAAAATCACAGGGTGAGCAGAAATAGTAAAACCTGAGCAATGTGCACAGATGGCCCTTGCTCACTTCCACTGCTTCTGCCAGCTGCTCTTAGGTGTGGAAAAGCTTCAGGAGGTGGACTCAAGTGACATAAAGTAATTTGACTCTCTCTCAAAAAACACAATTTAGAGTCAAAACCTGTGAGATACCCCATGATACTTCATGCTACATGCAAAATAATGGGGAAGTTTTAACAGCTTCTGCCTCAGGCAGCTCCCAGTTTAAGTCAGAACACAACAGAAAGCCTGAGAGGGAAAGGTAAGGTGGCACTGGTGAAAGCAGCCAAGATTATGCGGTGATCGCTGTGTGGGAGGTTGCAGCCAGGACTCTCAAATGACTCAAACCACTGTGGTATGGTTTTGGTTTTATTTCTTATTTTCTCACATTTGGAGGGAGAAGAGGGTGTGTCTAGAAGTTCAGATGCTAGCTTGGAACTTGGGTGATCTACATCCAGGTTTCTGCTTTGCCACTGACTCCCTTGTATAAGTTAGGCCCATCCCATGAGGGGCCTTTTGCCCCTCATTCTCCAAGGAAGAATGTGCACCCATACCCCTGAGGTCTGTGAAATTAATACCTGTGAGGAATTCACCTACAGTATGAGAGAGAGTCATATCAGGCCCTGAAGTGGTTTGGTCTGCATTACCTTTTTACCGTAGGCGATGGACAGCAAAGGGGATCCTTCAGAGCACTTTGTGTAGCTGACTTTCAAATGCAAAGCAGTGTTTGACCTGAGCTGCACAGAGAACTGAAAGTGTGCTGCAAGTCTCTCTAATTCATTCTGCAGAATTCTTTTTCTTAATTCTGCTTCATTTCATACCTGTCACATTTCTTACTTAAATATGAAAACTATTCATATCTTTATTTATAGAATTCTTTTTCATTTGCTAGTAACCACTCATTTGCCTTACCTAGTTCCATTTCATCTGATACAGTTCTTCCTCCCTTTCTCCTCCTCCTCCTCCTCATCCATGAGCTCAGGGGATCACAAAAGCACCTATCTGGAGCCTGGAAGCTGCTTGCTTTACCCCTCCTTACCCAGCACCCCTAAAGTGGCCTGAGTAGAGAAAAGAGGCCATCCTGGGGGGACAGCTGACTACGGGTCCTTCCCCTGAGGATTACACTGTGTACATCAGTACTGTAGTTGACAAATCTTGTCAGAGGTAGTGGTTTCTGCAAGTCAGGTACAGCAGATCTCATTTAAGCAGCAGTGAAATTTGTGATGTTTTTGTTTGACATCTGCAACCTCAGTGGAAAGAAAGTGTGCCTCTTGCCTTGTGTTTGCAGCTGAAGCTTTATTAAGGACAGAAAAGAATATGTACCTCTATTTTTTAATCTTCTGCATGCACAAACAGTGGGTTTTCACTGTAAATTGAGAGCTGTAAGGCTCTGTGGGAGTGATTTCCTTCTAGGAATTTATTTCATGTGGCTGTGAGTGGCTCAGCAAGATAGGATGGAAAAACAAAAAAAAAGGCCTAAATCTCTAGATAGCTGAAAGAGTGAAAGCACCCAGTGAACAAATCCTCACATGAAATCTCCTGTTTCTCCAAAAGAAAGGAAACCTTTCCCAGGGATCTGACACCTACTTACAGTGTTTCATGTTTTGTGTTCTAGAGAACAGCCAAATTTCACTAGGAAGTATTACCTGCCCAATCGTAAGTCAAAACAAATAAATATTCCTGGGGTTTGCATTTTGCCTGCTCAGTTTCAGTTTTTCTGTGCCCATTATGAGTCTTCTAATAAATTCTCCGTAAACAGCTCCCAGGCTCTGTCATCTCCACAGTGGCTGACAAAACGCAAAATATCTCAGACAGCCAATGACCCCACATCCCAACAGGTTGGCACTCCATTTTTGACCTTGCTAGTTCTCAGTGCAGGGCTTCCTGCTTGATCTTGTCTTTCAAGGAGGGACTGTGTCCAGTTCCCTTTTAGAAAGGGCAGCTTTTAAAATTGTCCTTGTTTGAAAGAAAACACTGTTTTGGGCAGCAGTGAAAACAGAGACCTGAATGCAGTCTGGTGTGTGCTGTGCTGATGTGATGAGGCTGGGCCATGAGTCCAGCAAGTTTTGCTCATTTCTGCACTGTGTGGTGGTAAGCTGCTCTGTACAATATTTTTCCTTTACCCTGGAGCTTCCTCCCAGGACCCTGCCAGTAACTTGGTCTTGCTTTGATAATCCGTTGTGCAGACATAACATGAAACTGTAGTCCTAATGACCTGTGTTATTTAAAAATCAAATGGCACTTTCTCAAGAGAAAGTTCTTTAGTTCCAGTGTTTTCCTAAGATAACCTATACCAAGGCAGCATATTATCCTCCCCTGTAGTTTAATGTATTGCTCACTTTGCCTGAACTCCTGCATGCCATTGCACTGCATTATTTTGTCATGTGCCACCCCATCATTTCAAAATAGATTCCCTGTTTGTTTAAAAGTACAGCAAAAGCTTTAAAGACTTGAGGAAAGTGATGCCATACACTTTGTGTAATGATGTACAACCTGCCAGTTCAATTTCACTGCCTTGTAGCACCAAATTATGAAACTCTTTGCCTCTTCATCTCCCCTGTCTTCTGAGCTAGCAAGAGATAAACAGGAAAAAGGGGAGACACCTTCTGTTTGATATTGTCTGACTCTCAAGTCAGTTTGAGCTCTGATATTAATAACTTCCTGTTTTGCTCTAAGTCTTCTGATATGTGAAAAGCCTCCATGCACATTGACTTTTCTTCCTGAACCTAGGCAACTTCATGACTAGTGTATTCCCAGCCCCTGGGCTACAAATTCCAGTTTGACACCTACCTCCAGGCCAGAATTTTAGAGTTGGAATTCAAATCATTGAAAATTTAGATTCCTAAATGTACAGTTAGTTGCCAAAAGACAAATGACCTGACTTGCTGACCCTATAAGTGTGTGGGACTTGAGAGGGCAGAATCTATACACATCAGACTTAACTTTATTTAGGATCTCAAATAAGGATCCCAATTTGAAATGTTGGGCTGTTGTTCATTGCTCAGGATGTGCTCAGAAGACAGAAACAGAAAAGAGGATCTGCAAAATAATGCAGAGAAAGGTGCATTTGTGTAATATCACTTGTGCAAGATGCTTGTGAAATGTCGGATATGCTGCATTGCATATTTTTTCACACATGCTTAAAATAGTAAGGCCTTTTCTTTTCCAACTATCTGTAGCAGGTTGACCCTGGCTGGGTGC